GTGCCTCCATCTACCTGAGCCAGAACTATCCCCAAGACATTCCTGATTCTGTCCCCGCCACGCAACCCGAACTGCTCACACATGGCCCTGCCATTCAGACCACTCAAGGGGCCTCCCCGCCGCATATGTGGACACCCTAATCCCCTGTGCTTGGCCCAGCAGCCTCCAGTCTATCCTCTGTGAAGCTGCCCATCCTTGTTTTTAAATATGCAGAACAGACTGTCTCATCTGCCTGCTCACAGCCCTACCCCGCTGACCCGTTCCCTAACAGACAGAACAGCTTCCTAGCATCATACACAGACCAGCTGGGCCCTGGCTAGTCCCTCTTCTGCCAACCCACTGGCTTCCTGTTGCCCAAATGGCCGCCCTGCTTCTTGCCTTGGCATATGCTTGGACATGGTGTTCGTGCTGCTTAGAACATCTCTCAGGGACACCTCCCCCTAGCAGCCCCCGAGGATGCCCCTCCAGGGCAACCCCTCAGGACACCCTCCTCATAGGACACTCTCCCCAAGGACACCCCTTTAAGATACCTCCCCAGCACAGCTGCCCCAGGACACCTTCCGCATAGGAACCCTCCCCCCCGGACATGCCCCTAGGACAACCCCTCTAGGACAACCTCCCAGCACACTGTCCCCCAACCTGGATGATGGCATTTGCCTCCTATGGTCTTTCCTGCCCCCACTCAGGCCTGTCGAAAACCTGTATCAGACGAGGTCGGGCTCTGCTGGGATCCCTCCGGGACCACGTCGCTATTCGGACGCCAGGCTGGCGTCCTCCCCAGGTGACCCAGTCCTCCATGACCCTGCGCATCGCCGCCTTCACCCCTACCACGCAGGCCCCTCGCCGTCCTGCAAACCCACCAGGCTGCCCCCGATCATCCTCACTGTTCAAGCCTATACTCCCGTCGAGTCTTGCTGAGATAGTCTTCCTCCCCCGACTGTATTGAAAACTGCCCCCAGCCCCTCCTGGCCTCCTTACCTGCAGGGCACTGATGCATACTTCCTAACTTTGTTCTGGTCTCAGCCCCCACCCCACTAGCACGCCGGCCCCTCGGGGCAGGGGATGTCATCCTCTGCTTGACCCTCAGCACCCGCAACAGTGCGGTAACACAGAAGGTGCTCAGGAAGCATCTGGTGAGGTTTGGGCCTTGTCCTGCCTGTCGTGAATGAGGAGATGGACTGACGTACTTCTTCAGGCCTGATGTTGGTGGAGTCGAGCCCTCGGGGCCGCGGGGCAGACCTAAGCCAGGCGCGTGGCTGCCCACCGGGTATTCTCAGAGATCAGCACACAGCAAATGACGGTGACTCGTGGAGCAGGAAATGCAGGAAAGATTCTGGCACCGCTCCAGAGGAATGACAGGGGACGGGCCCTTTCTGACCAAGCCTCACGCCCTGCGAGCGCTGGGAGGGAGGCTGGGCCACGATCCTGAGCCTGGCCCCAGGCCAGGCCCCCAGCCATGGTGGGCAGCAGGTAAAGACAAGCATGTTCCATCAAACACAAGACTCCACAGGGAGGGACACACGGAACGTGACACGAAAGCCAAAGCCCTGGGACCACCATCTGTGCTGCCTCAGTTTCCAATGCAGAGCTCTTCCCACCCGGCCCCCTCCCCCATTATTCTCTGTGCTGGGGCTTTGGGAAGGGCCTGTGTCCTCAGAAACCCGGGGCTCTTTCTAGGGGTCACTGAGTCCTCTAGGCGGGGTCCCCAGCCAGCTGGGCCTTTGTCTTATGGGGGAGGGGGCCTACGTCACCTCATGTTCTTCTGGGGACGGTGAGTCTCATCCTGTAAAGCTCAAGACCCTCTTCACATAACAAAAACTCGACATCACCCCTTCCCTTTGCAGAAATCGGGCCCGTTGGAAACAGCACATTATGCACAGAGTCCCTATAAGGCCCGAGGTGTAGGACAAAGGAGAGTCTCAGTCATCTATAATACCACGTGTATTTCAGTGAGACCCTCTTCGGAGTAGGTGGCAGCGGGCCAGAAAGAAGGGTGTCACAGGGTGGCTTGTCGCTGCTGCTCAGTCACCTGCTCCTCCTCTGGGGAACGGGCGCTGGGCCACACTCACCTCCGCCTCTCCGCTGCCTAGCACCGTGCCCAGCACATAGTAGGTGCTCAACCAATGTCTGGTGGAGAGATGGATGAATGACCGGATGATGAGTTCAGCCCCGGGTGAGATGTGCTGATGGGGTCATGAATGGGATGAGACGTGCCCCCGCCCCATCAGCCCTCGGAGGCCCCGGGCGGGCGGTGGCGGAGGGCGTGGGTGCTCGCTCCCGTGGGCGTCTCTGCCTCTCTCAGCTCCCTGCATGCTTCTCCGGGGCAGGGGCTGCTCTTGTCTTCTTGGTGTCCCCCTTGGCGCCCCACACAGCGTCTGGCACAGAGTGGGTGCTCAATAAATACCCGTTGAATTTAATGCATCTCAATTCAACAAACATTTATTGAGCGTCCACTGTGTTGAATGTCACAATCCTACCTTCCTTGGGCGCACTACAGATGGATGTCCCGGGGATGCAGGTGGGGCGTGCCTGGCCGCGTGCAAATGCCCTGCTCAGTGAAAGTTGTTTGCAAATGGGACTGGTGTCTGTGGGCTCACTTCGGGAGCTACTCGGGGAGAGTGGAAGGAGCCCCGAGGAAAGGGGGTACGTAACCCTCCGTTTAGGAGCGCTGCCCATTCCGCCCCAATTTCTCAACGGGCTGGCACGCAGCAAGGCACGCGTGATGGAGGCATGACCAGTAGCCGGGGTCCCGGATGCTGTGCCCATGCACGTCGGGAAACCAGGCGAGGTAAAGGCACGGTTGCAGCAGGTGCACGGTGGGTTTCCTGCTCAGCGGAACCGACATCGGAACACCATAGAAAGCGGAGGAATGACAGAACTGTCATAATCGTCATGAGCAAGCGTTCGTGAAAGGGAAGGCCACGCGTACGTGCACGCACACACACACACGTTGTTTCTACGGTGGAGGAATCTCCCCCATTAGAGCCGGGATTCTGGCGCAGGTGAGGCGCTTCCTGCCGGCCAGGTGCGCCCTGGGTGACAAGCACCGGGACCCCCGTCTGTGGCTGCCCGTGGCCCCAGTGATGGGGAGACAGCAATGAGGACGAGGGGACAGAGCCAAAACAAGACCTTGCAGGTGTGTGACTGGCCAGTCAAAACAGCACGCACAGCCTGGGGGCCTCGCGGGGGGTCTCCCACCTACGGGGCTCCCGGGATGGCCCGGGGGCACCTGGTCCCAGCGCGCGCAGGCGAGGGGCCAGTGCACCGGGGTCAAGGTAGCACGCACCAGCGACAGGGCAGGTCAACGGCACGGGGAGGGGGGACTGTGGCCAGGCTTCTCCCCACGGGGTGCCCCCCCCACAGGTGGGCTGCGGACATAAGTGGGGATCCCGGGGTCAGCCGAAGGTGGGGTCCTAGCACCACCCAGCAAGGGGAGGATGGGAAGCCAGAAAAGGCCACCCCCTGAGGTCCCCAGACACTCCCTTCCTGAGAGCTCCTGGGCCTCGTGGGTAACACGACGACACCCCAGGCGTGGAAGGGCTGCGGGGGTGCTGGAAGGCTGGCGCAACAGGATCCCACCACCTTCCAAACCAACCGCCATCAGGACAAAGGGAACGTGGAGCAGCAAGGCCCATGGTCAGGTCCTGCAGCACCCGGGGCAGTGGGTGCCTGGGAGCAGACAAGGGCCGGGGGCCGGATCTCAGCTGCTGGTCTGGTCCGCGCCATGACCTGCCGGCGGGGGGGGGGGGGGGATGGGCAGCGCGCCGCGTCCTCCCCGCACCTGCCCTGGGAGGAGCACGCCACCACCTTGGACGAGTCACTCTGGGAGACTGCTCTGACGTGGCCTTCCTGTGGTGGCATCCACCCGTGTGCCGGCCCAGAGAGCCCCATATTTAGAGCGCTGCACCCCCGGGGGGCCAGAGGCACGGCGGGAGGGGGGCTCATGATGTCTGCTTGCAAAGATCATACACAAAACAATGCGCCTTTGCTTTGCTTCGAGCTCTTCTTTAACAAACGGCAATGCCCGGGCTGCCCCTTCCATGTGTAAGACAAGTTACAGTTCAGAGTCGTGAGAATGAGGATGACAATGACAGTCTTTTTGCTGAGCATCTACCATGGGCCAGGCAGAACGCCGGCTGCGGACGTGTGTCACCTCCTCCGGTCTCTACTGGCCTGGACAGGCAGACCGGCGGGACGGAGGCCCAGCGGTGCGGTCACGGCCCAGGGTCCCACGGCCCATCAGGGCTGAGCCCGGATTTGAGCTGGGGCTGGTCTCGTGGCCACACCAGCCTCTGTGCTCTGCCTCTTCACACCCCCGTCCACCTCTGCGTCCCAGCTCAGCCCCACACGTGCCCACAGGAAACCACCCGCTGGGACCCAGGCACGGCGTCCAGGTCTCCTGCGGGCATCACACCATGGCTGGCCGTGCTTCTCACCCACAATGTACAATTCTAGAGCTCTATGTGGAGCGTTGCCCTGCATCTGAAAATCCCTCCTAATTCAGCCCTCCTGAACCCCAAAGTCGGGCAGCGGTCACTTATCCCCATACTCCCTGTGGACGGGATGTCCCCACTCCCCGGTGCCTTGCTCAGGCCGAGCGCCGGGTGGCTGTACCCTGTCATCGACTCCCAGTCTGGACTCACCCGCCTGGACCATGCTTACGGCTGCTCTGGAGGGAAACGGGCCCCCCGCTTCTCAGCCTGATGGCCCGGGAGATGTTCTTTGCAACAGAACCCAGGAGGCCAGTTTGGCTTTGTGGGCTGTCTCCAGCCCTAGAGCATTCTAGGAGACACGCCGGTGTGCCCACGGGCCACACGCAAGCTCACCATGTCCAGGGGAACTCACACGGAAAGGGGGTCCGCTCTCCTACCTGATTTGCTCCTTAGATTTCTTAACGAGCAAGGCTCAGTTCTGGGGGATGGGTTCCAGATTGTGGGGCCCCCTTGCTGAGAGGCCTCTCATGCCACAGGTACAGCTCCTTGCTCAAAAGAACCACTCACGTGAGTAAAAGTTGTCCCCTTGCATTGTTTGGAGAGGGTCTCTATCGGTCCCGCTACTGTGGGACAAAGACTGGCTGTCTAGGTCTGGAGAGTTAGTCCTAGTGTCTGTATCCCCCTTGAGAAGCAGCCAGCTGGTCTTCTGCTGAGGGAGAGAAAAAGCCACGTGAATGCGGAGGCCCTCTGCATGGGGCTGCCCCGTGTTACAGAGGAGGAAATGCGGTCAGGGAGGTCAGGGGCCCAAGCGGCTTCTCCTGGGGGTGCACGGGTGAGCCAGGCGTGGGCTCTCTCCATGCACAGCTCCCTCCCTTAACGACAAGCCAGGGGCCCTCGCCCTCCCTGGAGCCAGGGCGGGAAACTCTGGGGGCCAAACCCCCCCAGAGAGGCGCACCCAGGCCTCCACGCATTCCCCATGGCTGCGTTTGTCGCCGAGCCATGTGGCCCCCCCGGAGCCTCACTCTACCCTCGGACCCTTCCCTGGGACCCCCTGCCCAACCTGTTCTCGAGCCAGCACCCCAGACGCCTCCAGAATACCCTTGGACTAATTTTCCTTTCTTTGCTTAGACATGGCCTCGGTGATAGAGCTGTAACCGGGTTACAGGGGTGCGGCAGGAGGACTGCGGCAGGAGGCGTGCTAGTCTGGGTGGGAGGAGGTGGCGGGCGGGGCCGCCTCTGAAATCTGGTCCCTGCCGCGTGGGGCCTCGTGGGACCCCTCCGGAGCAGAATGCGGGAGAGGGAGCCTGAGCTTTTGGCTGGGGAACCCCCCTGAGCCAGACTGCCTCTGGGCAAGGCTGCTCCCGCCCGGACCTGCCCCCGCATTACCTTCCTGTTATCCTGCTCGAAAATTCCGTCCTCTCCATCGGGTCGCCTGACGGCTGGAAGGGAAGGGGCCTCTTGTCAAGAGATACACCATCTCATCTGGGTGTCCCTGCCACGGTTCCCACTTCCCATCGTGCTCAGAAACAGAAAGGAATCAAGCCAAGGTCGACGGCACGAGAGCCTTTGCAGGGCCGGGGAGTAGGACGCGCCGGAGAGGCCTCCCACGGGCGCCCCGCGGGCGGTGGCCATGCCCCCTCCCTCCTGACGGTTCTTCAAACCAAGAGCAGGGGTGTAAAGTGACGCGGTCCTAGAACTCCAGCCAACCCCACGCTGCCGAGATCGCACCACGTGTTTGGATGCAGCCACTTGGCATTTTGAAGCACGCACTCTCTACTTTCCCAGTTTAACCCTAAAGGAACAGGAGGGTTTGGTCCAGCAGGGCCTGCTGTGTCCGACCTGGCCGGGTGCTTCACCGGCGCTCCTGCGGATCCCCACGCCACCCCATTCACAGATCGAGAGACTGAGGCTCAGAGACATGACATGCACGGGGCGTGGCAGAGGCTGATATGTGAACCCAGGTGCTCTGTCTCCAAAGACCCCCTCCCCGTTTGTCCCCCTCACTGCCTGCTGCCCACGACACACAGAATGGTCAGTGGGCTCTGCCACATGAAAAGTCCACGAAGAGAGGTAAAGGAGGTACGACATACAGCCAGAGGTGACCTCGTGGACTGGAAGGAGCAAAAGCTCACTTTGCCACAGTGTGTCCGCCAAGAACGCCATCTGGGGCTGAGAAGTCAGGTGTCTATATTCTCCACTGGCCTTTTTGTTTTTGGTGGTGGCGGTGGGGTCATCTCCAAGTGAGTGCGATCAAGTACATCACGCAAGGGCATATGACAGCGCTCAGCACCCAACTGAGGACTTCCTGTACTAAGCCACGGACCCCATGCATAGAACAATGAAAGGAAAACCCCAGGCTCCTTCCCCACCCGCCACGGAGACCGAGGCCACGGTAAGGACACGCCAAGGGTGGGCTCCTTACCTGCAGCCTGCGGAGGGCTTGGACCTTCGAGCCTTTTGGAGCACCCTGCCTTGTGCACCACCAAGGACAAGACTGACATCAGGCCCGAGAGCTTGGAAATTGGGGAGTGGGCTACGGGACCTTGACAAGATAAGGTCACAGTTGAAGAGCGTTCTGGATACACGGACATTTTGTTACTCCCGATGGCTGTTGCTCCTTCTTCCAGGAGAGACAGTGGTTTTCCAGTGTGAAAATAAAAACCCTGCTCTCTCCACAGGCGGAGGCAAATTTACAGCGAGCCTACGCGAGGGGAGCCATGGTGGACAGAGGCGGGGGCAGGACGGACACACGCCCAGCGGCCCGGGCTTGCCTGTTGCCCGGACAATTGTGGCCGCTGGGCAGCAGAGCCCTGAGGGTCTGGTCACACATCCGCCATGACTCTTGGCGGCCGCCCAGCAAGCTCTGGGGATGGTTAGGCCAGCGGGGACTTGGAGCTCCAGAGCATAGCCACTGTCCCACCCAGAGAAGCCTCCAGGGCTGGGTCCACCAGTGAAAGTCAGTGAGTGCACCCCCACCGCCGATGAGCCCTCGGTGGCCCCCAAATGGACCACTACAGCGGGGGTAAATTTGCAAGCACAAGGACAGCAAGGGGCTCTTTGGGATATGAAATCCCAGCCCTTGGAGTTCAGGCCACGGGGCCCAGAGGCCACCCTGGGTTTGAGGACTTCACACAGCTGTGGGTGACTGGGTGGGTCAGATGCGTCTGGCTGTGGAGCCACCTCAGGGCTCAAGGAATGGCCCCACCACCTGATGAGGAAGCCATCCCACCAGGATTGAGCAAGTTTCCTCTGCAAAGGCTCAACCAGGAGCGTACGACTCAGCCACACTCAGTCACCAAGGGCTTTCCAAAGGCCAAACGTGTCAGCCCACAATACACGCAACGGGTGCCCTGACGTGGGAGCAGGGGTAGGAAAATACAGGTGTCTGGCACTTTGTATTATATGCCTGCTTCCTGAACAGCTCTGAGCCTCAGTTTCCTGATCTGTAAAATGGGCAGATGACGCCCACCCCCAAGTTGCGAGGATCCCATGAGGTAATGCATGTAGATACTGTAACACACCAGGGAGCCCAGGTCTGAAAAATGAGGAATGAACAAGAGAACAGCCTTGAGGCAAGTGGACAGGCTTGTGTTTCAGAGAGTCAGGAGAAGACACACCGATTAAGGATGACCCACTGTCTGTCCCAGCAGACAAGGCAGTGCCCTCTGAGCCTGGAATGTATCTGCCATAAGGAGCCCTCCGGGGAGAGCCCCGGGGGACTCTGTTGGAGGCATCCCCAGGAGACTGGCTGGCCTCTGATGTTCTTTCTGGACCCACAGCCTGCCTGCCTTCCCTTTCCTCCCATCCCAAGACAGGACCCCAAACCAAAATGAGACTTGACCCCACCACGGAGGAATCCCAGGGAGACACATGAGTGGGGGTTCCCTCCTGTCTTACACCAGGGACCAGAGGAATAGCATGCATGCCCCATGGGGCCCCGTCTGCTGACTGGTCTAGGGGGGAGGATGGAGTGAGCACCCCTTTGCTAGCAGGTGGCTGCAGGTGCGGGGCTGAGCTGCCATCTCCTGTGTCTGGGGCCCGGGCACCCACTCCCATGGCTGTCTCAGAGCTGCCCTTTGCTTACAGATGACGCAGCTAGCCCTGTCCCTGAGTCTGGATGCTCAGCTTCCTGGGCGGTGTGGGGAGATGTGTTCTGTTCTTCCCTGGAATTCATTTTGGGCAGTCTAAAACCTAGCAGAGCGTCGCTCCATCGAGGGGACCTACCACTGGAATGACCCTGTTCCACGCCCCACGTCAGCGGGGCCTCACCCAACTCCTGCAAAGCCCGATGGCGAGGCAGCCTTGACCCTACTCTCAGGGTGGAGACGCAGAGCGGCCATGGCAGGAACCACGCCTACTTCACCAAAGTCAGGGACACC